TCATTTACAGGGCATTAACTATGCTTTAAGGCACTTGCTAGCCCCTTGTAGCTACTCACTATAATTAGCGACACCAATTACATCCCGCCAAGGAACTGCGTTGCTGGGAAGAAAGCACTCGGGTGCTGCTCCAGCGAAGCACCGCAGCTCCAGAGGACGGGTGCAGCTAATATAGGTCTAACCAACGCTTAGGATCTAGGTCAGCACCTTCCAGCTACGGTGCTGCAGTAGAGGTTATTACCTGAAAGAGGTTATGGAAACAGATTAGCCTGTTCAATGCGGGAGCGTCTTTACTGGAAGTTATTTCACTGCTGGAGCTTGCTGCCCCCCCGGCCACAGGAACCGCTTGTGGCAGCAGCCTTTTGCCTCACGGAAAGGCTGTGGTCCCCCCTGCCACTGGCAGGCCTTCTCCGTAAAACATGAACTCGCAGAGGGCTGGAGGAACACAGCTAAGGGGGATGCAACCAGAACCCCCTTTCATCCGCTGCTGCCAAGGATGCTACTGTGTGGCAGAAGTCAGAACTGTAACTTTAATGCTCCATCCTTGAACTTAGCATTGTTCTGGCTTTATTGCTCTATGGCTTCAGAGCAACAGAAATCAAGCGCTTTCCAATGCAGACCACAGAGGGAAAGCCCACCCATGGAAAAGCCACCCCCAGACAGAGCTATGCAGCTTCTGCCCTGGAGGTGAGTTTTGGACTTTTCCACAAAATTCACACCCCGCGAGCCCACGGAGGCAGCCACAGTACAGCCCCTGCTTTTGTGGGTGTCTCTCCCTGATCTTCCACAAGAAGAAAGAGTGAGAGGTGCCAGGCTGAAGCTGTGGATTTTCAGCATCCACGCAGCTTACCCTCCTCCTCCTCCACAACGGACCCCTCCCTCCATGGAGGCTGACATCAAGCACAGCCAGCCTGAAGTAGCACCAGCCTTACGCCTGTCCTGCTCGAGGCAACGCTCACGCTACAGCAGGCTGACATAGCAAGACCATAACCTTGCAGGGTAAAACCCGTGTGCCGTTTCCCTTGGTGGTGGCGTGCACTAAGCACAGTGCTCTAGAGCTGCGTTTCCAGATAGCCCCAGAGCAGCGGGTAGGATTGTCCGAGTTGCATCTTCTCGGAACGACTCTTGGGAGAGCTGCGAGGTTGAGACCAAGTATTTTTCAGTTAGCGGACAAGAGACAATCAGTCTTGATAGAACATTTATTGAATATTTCCACTCTAGTGGATGAAAAGTCTGTACAAAACCAAACATTTCCTTTACTTAAACCAATCTAAAAACAGTCAGCTCAATCAAAACCCACTACAAATACAATAGCTTCTTTGAAGCCATGGTAACACTTAAATACGGTTAAGACTTCAATGCAGAAATTTGGTTTGTTAGAAAGCTCAAGGGAGCTTTAGCTTCTCAAAGTTACAAAAAGGCAAAATCGTGTTTCACAGATACAGTCCACTGGAATCACCAACACTGGACAATTAAGTACTTAGAGTCCTGAGATAACAAGGAATCCTGGTATCCTTTAGACAGTTTTCTGTTGTCCTTTCTTTCCAATGAGAGACTTGTGGATATGCGGTATTACACCTAAGAAAGAGCAACAGTTAAGACCACATTACTTCTATGCAACAATTTTCCTCAACTTTACACTTCAAATAAGACAACAGCACTCAGCAACACCTCCAGTCTGTTAAGAATTCTTGCCACTCAGCTTATCACAAACAGGTACCAAGCAAAATTTACATACCGCCACCAGCGATTGTTGCCTTAATGAGGGAGTCCAATTCTTCATCTCCTCTAATTGCAAGCTGCAAGTGACGGGGAGTGATACGTTTCACCTTCAAGTCTTTGGATGCATTTCCAGCCAGCTCAAGAACCTGAGGACAAGACCATTTTTAAAATGGGTTACACAAATAAAGTGAGACCAACCGCATGGCCGTAGCTATTTCATTCTCTATGCCAAATACACTATTAACGACATGGAGACAGCAAACAATGCCTCTTTCGAAAGGGTTCCTCTTGCGGAGCTCTGCATTTAATTTAATTATGCCATTTTGGAATTGACCAACTTGCTTGCACCCCTTGCAGGAGCTTTACCTCAGCCGTCAAGTACTCCAGGATTGCAGCGCTATACACAGCAGCTGTGGCTCCTACACGCCCATGGCTGGTAGTCCTGGACTTCAGGTGCCTGTGGATGCGGCCAACAGGGAACTGGAAAATAACGGAAGTATGAATAGGCTGTGATGACAGAGACAGAAAGCCACTACGCTAGACCACATGCTGGGCAACAGAATAGCAGTGGCAGAAGCACAGACTACATTTCAACACTTCAGAATCCAGCTAAGGCCACTGTCTGCCAAGTTCACATCAACAACTTCACAGTTCTAGCCACAAGCAGTAGCAAGAGCCACAAGGGAATTTTCTTCCCTCCTGCACAGATATGCAAGAGGTCTAAAAATACTCAAGCCAGACATTAACACACTCAAGGATCAAACAGATGCTTACACCATTCTGCACAAGAGGCAGACTGCGCAGGATTCACAAGGTACAGACAGGAAGGCCGACCTGACTGCCCTTCACCCACACCCCAGTCCTTGCTCACCTGCAATCCAGCCCGCTGAGAACGGGACACTGCTTTGGTCTTGGTCTTTCCGGAGTCCTTCCCAGCTTTACCACCAGCCTAGCGGAGAGAAGATGTGCTTAAGAGCTGACGCGCC